TTGCATTTGGTCCTAATTAAATGCCGCATATATTCTGCCTATTATGAAAGCTACAGACTCTGGGCACTATTCAGCTGGTACTCTGGAGAAGCAGCGTACTTCACAATTTTGTCTCTTCAATTGGCAAAAGCAGTAAAATTAATAATAGGTTGGCTACAATTGTGCCACTGTTCTCCTCAGTAACTAGCGCCCTTTTAAAATGTACTTATATATCTAGATAAATGTAACAAAGCAGCAATAATAATGATGATAATAATAATAATAATAATAATAATAATAATAATCCCAATTCATCACTATTCCTACTTTATCTTCCCCCATCAAATGACTTTTCATATTTCATCTATTATAACCTCTATCCAACAACCGGATATTATATCTAATATATATATTTTAACTGGAGTAGAACCAGGTTGCCGGTGCTTAAAATGGAAAAGGGGGAATATCAGCTACGAAACTGATCCCTGGGAGAAGGCCGACAGATCCTGAGGAGTGTTGTCCAATTCAGGATGCATTCCTCCTAAGGGTGAAAATGTTAGTGTCTGTCTGAACACTGCAAGCGCAAGGCGACATTCAGGGAAGACCAACGAGAAAACGCCTGTGCCAGAGATATTTAGGGCTTGTCCACATTGACCTTGTGGATTTGAAACTGCCTGGGCCTCTGTGTTTTGTGTGGCAGCCACATGACATCATCCTCATCTAAGCGGCTGCCGACACATTTTAGTCACCAAATTAGGATTTTCCTGATCCACAGGAATGCATTGTGTGGGAGATTTAAGTTTTAGTTTTAGTGTGCAGTGACATTTCACGGAAATTTCATGCACACCCTTCCATCATGTTTCCGGTAATAGCCGAAACAATTCAGGGTGCCTTTCTCCACCAGTTGTAGCTGAAGGCAGGTTTGCAGTTCATTTATTGTATTTCTAAAACAACTCTTTCACGTGGAACTGTCGTTGAGCAAAGCACCTTTATTAAAAAGGAAGTTTGCCTTGCAGATACAGGAGGTGGGGAGGAAAGGATTTTTCACACAAGTGACTCCAAATCATTGCCTGGGTTATTTATTACCATAGATGGTGGTGGTGGTGATGGTTTTTCTGTTCTGTTGTGTAAATGTTTTATTTCATATATATTTTAAATGTGCGTGCACACACACACAAATACCTGCATGCATACCCACAAAGACCTCAGGTTTCCAGAAGTTATGATGAGCACAAAGTACTAACTGAGTAAAACAGACAGCAATATGCTGCACGAATACAGTGGTACCTCAGGTTACAGACACTTCAGGTTACAGATGCTTCAGGTTACAGACTCCGCTAACCCAGAAATAGTACCTCGGGTTAAGAACTTTGCTTCAGGATGAGAACAGAAATTGTGTGGCGGCAGCGGGAGGCCCCATTAGCTAAAGTGGTACCTCAGGTTAAGAACAGTTTCAGGTTAAGAACGGACCTCCGGAACGAATTAAGTACTTAAGCCGAGGTACCACTGTACAACACATTAAGCCCCCCACTAGTGTGGATGGGAAGCATCAATATAGATTTTGGGGGCATATAATGGAAAGCGCTCGTGTGTGGATGACGGCGTACAAGCACACACACACACAAGCAGCTACCCACATAAAGTATTAACGCCCTAGCTTTAGAGACAAGGAATTGTCCTTTGTTAATGGTTCTGAAATTTGTTAAGAGAGCCCTCTTCCCCTCAGAGCTACTGTTCCCAGAGTTCATTGGGAAGAAGGGCTGGTCGTCAAACCGCTCTGAGAATTGTAGTTTTGTGAAGGAAATAGGGGTCTCCTGACAACTCTCTGCACCCTTAACAAACCACATTTCCCAGAGTTCTATGTGGGAAGCAGAGCTATGAAACTACAGTCATACCTCGGGTTAAATACGCTTCGAGTTGAGCACGTTCGAGTCACGCTCCGCGGCAACCCGGAAGTAACGGAGCGCGTTACTTCCGGGTTTCGCCGCTTGCGCATGCGCGGACGCTCAAAATGACGTCACGCGCATGCGCAGAAGCAGCGAAAAGCGACGCGTGCGTGCGCAGACATGCCGTCACTAGATACGTTTACCTCTAGATGCGAACGGGGCTCCGGAACGGATCCCGTTCGTATCTAGAGGTACCACTGTACTTGAAATATACAGTGCAGAAGAGACCTCAGAGTCATCCCCGCTCCTCCAGGGAACCCCGGACATTGTAGGGTGGTGTGTGTGTGTGTGTGTGAGAGAGAGAGAGAGAGAGAGAGAGAGAGAGAGAGAAAGTGCAAGCTCCAGGATTATGTGGATTTAACTGAAATAAATGGATATAGGTTGGCACTGTAAATGTAATAATAATAATAATAATAATAATAATAATAATAATAATAATTTATTTATACCCCACCCATCTGGATGAGTTTCCCCAGCCACTCTGGGAGGTTCCCAATCAAGTGTTAAAAACAACACATTCGCCGCCTCTATTGCATCTGCAGAAAACAGCAGCAGGAGACTTTTTCAGGTGGTCCGCAATTTAGCAGAACCACCTGCTACATCGGGGCCCAGTACGGGCCACATGACCTCCTGCAATGATTTTGCAAAGTTTTTTGCAGATAAAGTCGCTCAGATTCGGGAAGAGGTAGACGCCACCGTGGGAGCAGGGCCAGGGCGGGAGAGTGCTAGAGTCCTGTCTAGTCAAATTGCGTGGGATCAATTCCAATCTGTTACCTCCGAGGATGTGGACAGGCTGCTTGGACGAGTGAAACCAACCACCTGTCTCCTGGATCCTTGCCCATCCTGGCTTATAAAAGCTAGCCAGGAAGGGCTGGGCGATGGGCTTCGTGGGGTGGTGAATGCTTCCCTCCATGAGGGAGCCTTCCCAGACCCGTTGAAAGAGGCGGTTATTAAACCGCTTCTTAAAAAACCATCTTTAGATGCGGCCACGATGGCCAACTATCGCCCAGTCTCAAATCTTCCATTCTTGGGCAAGGTGATTGAGCGAGCGGTTGCCGAACAACTCCAGGCACGCCTGGAAGAAGCGGACCATTTGGATCCCTTCCAATCGGGATTCAGGCCTCATCACTGGACTGAAACTGCCTTGGTCGCACTGGTTGATGATCTCCGGCGGGCTAGGGACAAAGGTGAGAGCTGTTTCCTAGTTCTGCTGGATCTCTCAGCGGCATTTGATACCATCGACCATAACATCCTTCTGGACCGTCTTGAGGGGCTGGGAGCTGGGGGTACTGTCATACAGTGGTTCCGCTCCTTCCTCCTGGGCCGTGTTCAGAAAGTGGTGGTGGGGGATGAGTGTTCAGACCCCTGGGCTCTCACTTGTGGGGTGCCTCAGGGTTCTGTCCTCTCCCCTATGCTTTTCAACATCTACATGCAGCCGCTGGGAGAGATCATCAGGGGGTTTGGGCTGGGTGTTCATCAGTATGCAGATGATACCCAGCTCTACCTTTCTTTCAAATCAGAACCAGTGAAGGCGGTGACGGTCCTGTGTGAGTGTCTGGAGGCGGTTGGAGGATGGATGGCGGCAAACAGATTGAGATTGAATCCTGACAAGACAGAAGTACTGTTTCTGGGGGACAGGAGGCGGGCAGGTGTGGAGGATTCCCTGGTCCTGAATGGGGTAACCGTGCCCCTGAAGGACCAGGTGCGCAGCCTGGGAGTCATTTTGGACTCACAGCTGTCCATGGAGGCACAGGTTAAATCCGTGTCCAGGGCAGCTGTGTACCAGCTCCATCTGGTACGTAGGCTGAGACCCTATCTGCCCGCGGACTGCCTCGCCAGAGTGGTGCATGCTCTGGTTATCCCCCGCTTGGACTACTGCAATGCGCTCTACGTGGGGCTACCTTTGAAGGTGACCCGGAAACTACAACTAATCCAGAATGCAGCAGCCAGACTGGTGACTGGGAACGGCCGCCGAGACCATATAACACCGGTCTTGAAAGACCTACATTGGCTCCCAGTACGTTTCCGAGCACAATTCAAAGTGTTGGTGCTGACCTTTAAAGCCCTAAACGGCCTCGGTCCAGTATACCTGAAGGAGCGTCTCCACCTCCATCGTTCTACCCGGACACTGAGGTCCAGCACCGAGGGCCTTCTGGCGGTTCCCTCACTGCGAGAAGCCAAGTTACAGGGAACCAGGCAGAGGGCCTTCTCGGTAGTGGCGCCCTCCCTGTGGAACGCCCTCCCACCAGATGTCAAAGAGAACAACAACTACCAGACTTTTAGAAGACATCTGAAGGCAGCCCTGTTTAGGGAAGCTTTTAATGTTTGATGTATCACAGTATTTTAATATTCTTTTGGAAGCCGCCCAGAGTGGCTGGGGAAACCCAGCCAGATGGGCGGGGTATAAATAATAAATTATTATTATTATTATTATTATTATTATTATTATTATTAAAAACTTCCCTAAACGGGGCTGCCTTCAGATGTCTTTTAAAGATAAGATAGATGCTTATTTCCTTCACATCTGATGGGAGGGCATTCCACAGGGCAGCCGCTACCACCGAGAAGGCCCTCTGCCTGTTTCCCTGTAACCTCACTTCTCGCAATGAGGGAACAGCCAGAAGGCCCTTGGAGCTGGACCTCAGTGTCGGGGCTGAACGATGGGGGTGGAGACGCTCCTTCAGATATACAGGACCGAGGCCATTTAGGGATGTTTAGGCCATTTACCCTCTAATTGTGCACCATGGCAACCAAAGGCACCAACCAACGAATTCTCACCCGTTCAGTGGATAAAGGGATGTAGTGACCACAGGCGGCCATATTTGCTGGGCCTTGAAAAGTCATTTCAGAGCAGGTGGATGTTTTAAGACCTTTTACCAACCACGCTTATGGTTTCCGTCATATTGATTCCTTACAATTGATTCATTATGCCTTAGGATCGATAGCAAGCAGCAACCTGCCCTCTCCCCTCAACCCACCACCCCATCAAGTATTATAATTCATCTGATTTTGCTTGATTTCCATTGATTGTGACCTTGAAAACAAGAAGCGGAGGGAGACACCATGCTTTTCAACATAATGCGTTTATTTCTGCATTTATATTATTTCCCAAGGTTAACGTGATATCAGTAAGAGGAAAAAAGGATGTGGAAGAAGTTACAGACTGCAGAGAAAGGACATGCAATATGAGATATTTCCTACAGTCATAATACTAGGGGGATTTCTGATAGGGGTGGTAAACAGGGGAATGACCATAAATGACCAGTAAAAGATGAGCCTGCTTTATAGAGGGGTCTATCCGGAACACTCAGACCTCCTAAAACTCTTCACAAGAGGACTGGACAACGTTTTGTGCGTCACTTCACAACTGTATAATTCGTGGGTGTTGAAATCTGATGTAGGGAGCGTCAGGGTGCTGCTCAGCTTATAGGTGTTGTCTGTATCCGACGCTGGGGGGCTGGTTTGGACGCCCTCACTGACGGGAGTGCCGTCCACTTTCCAGGCCACGGTTAGGCTGCTTGGGTAGAACGTGCTGACCAGGCACACGGCAGTGGCTGAATCCGTTTTAAGTTGCTCCGGTGAGGGTGGGAAAATGATTGCCAATGGGGTGGAATCTTCTCTTCCTGCGTAAACAAACAAGAACACGGAATATTGCATCATTCAGGTGTACCAGAGGGCCAGTGAAAGACACAGTGCTAGTTCAAAACATTTTGCTACAAATGGCGCCGCTGTCCAAAAAATTGTGAAGGTACCAAGTGCTTGAGGCAACGAAAATCCACAAGTTTCCCCTCTACTTCTCCCCCCCATAAAGTAAGTGAAGTATTTGCTGCTGTTTCATGACACCCCCTAGTTGGACGCCTTGATCAGACCAGAAATGCAAATAGCATTCAGGCTCAGATTTGCCATCATCATCATCATCATCATCATCATTATTACTGCTTCCCCCACACCTTTAGTGTCTCCACCCCCATCATTCTACCCAAACCTGAGGTCCAGCGCCGAGGGCCTTCTGGCAGTTCCCTCACTGCGAGGAGCCAAGTTACAGGGAACCAGGCAGAGGGCCTTCTCGGTAGTGGCACCCGCCCTGTGGAACGCCCTCCCATCAGATGTCAAAGAGAACAACAACTACCAGACTTTTAGAAGACATCTGAAGGCAGCCCTGTTTAGGGAAGCTTTTAATGTTTGATGCATTACTGTATTTTAATATTTGGTTGGAAGCCGCCCAGAGTGGCTGGGGAAGCCCAGCCAGATGGGCGGGGTATAAATAAATTATTATTATTATTATTATTATTATTATTATTATTATTATTATTAAGGAGCAGCCCAACATTCAGAAACTGATTTCAGGTATAATGCTTTTATTCTTGCTGATGATGTCTGCAGATTAAACAGCTGTTAAAGGTACAGAAAAGACTTCAAACTGCACCCCTACGTCCCCTTATCTGGAAGTAAACCCTGCTGAATTGAGAATGTCTCATTGCCATGCAAACATGGACACGGTTGTTCTGAAAACCATAGAAATTCAAAATCCTACAGTGTTCGTGACAGTGTTTGTACTGCAGGAAAGTAAAATTTGGGCTCAGCAGACTCTCAGACAAGACACAGTAGCTGTGCAGATCTAAACAGATAAGTTACAGCAAGTAAAATTAAATATATGTCCTTTACGAAACTTAGAGCACAAGCTGATCAATGTTAAGCCCACTGACTGCTTAGCACTTAGGGGTACCAAAACTTATCTGATCTAAAGTTTGGCAGGTGTCGTTGTAAAAGAAATAGTTCAACACATTTTTAAAGTGAACATTTTCCTAGTAGTATCTTTCAGTCTTTACTGAGTAAAGTAAAAACTGGAGAAAAGACTCCACGGGCTAGTATTCATATCTGGGTCCTACAGCCCTGTCCTCTGGCTGGGACAGAGAATTTGAGCTCGTGGAAAGCTGCAAAATTAGAAATATTCTGCATTACTTTGGCTTGGGTAATTGGTTTGTGGTGCATTGTTATAAATTTGGCTACAGTGTAAGTGCAGATATTTCTTTACTTCTTCATACATGGTTCTTACATTTTATATCCTATAAATGAAACGTGCTGTTTAAACCGTTCGCTAAGCACCAATACATGAATCACATAGGGGAGTTAAATTCTATATTCCATCTTAAAACTTACGTTTTTACCATATTTTACATTGTTTCTCCTTTCTTGATTACTTCAGAAATGCCCAAGTAACTAACAATGGCCCAAACCAGTAAAATATGCAGTCCCCCTATTAATTTCAACGGCAAATAATTAAGCATGTGCTAAGCATACAGTGGGCTTAACATTGATCAGCTTGTGCTCTAAGTTTCGTAAAGGACATATATTTAATTTTACTTGCTGTAAGTGATCTGTGCAAAGTATTGCACCATCAGATTGGTAGGGACAACATAAATACTATATTCGCTTTGAAAGTAGCCTTGAAATTTCACTCTTTTTCTTTCCCCCCTAACTTTCCTTATTGCAGAATTCTGTCTCTGCTATAAATTAATAGCATCTTCAATCCCAGTTGCCTTTGACAGAGCACATTGACAAAATGCCTGATTATTATTATTTTTTTAGGTTCCTCTTGACTTATCTATGATAGAACAGATTTTGATTTATCAATGCATTTGTTGATCAATCAATATATTTGCACCGCACCATCAATATGCATGGTATGCCACAGCCAAAAGAAGGGGGAAAGGGCTTTACTGTGCCATTTGGGCAAAGGTCCTCCAATTACGGTAGTCTATAGCAGTGTTTCCCAAATGTGGGTCTCCAGCTGTTTTTGGACTACAATTCCCATCATCCCTGACCACAGGTCCTGCTAGCTAAGGGATGATGGGAGTTGTAGTCTAAAAACAGCTGGAGACCCAAGTTTGGGAAACACTGGTCTATAGAGCTATATCTATATCTGTTTCTAACATAGGTTTTTTCAGAACAGTCAGACTAAAACCCCTGTGAAAATCAATGATAGAATATTTCTAGCATCTTAGTTACAATGCTAGACTTAACTACAGACAAATAGGATCTCACCTAGAAATACCTGTATTTTCAAATTAATGTATTCTCAAATTAACGAGTCCAGAAATCATCTGTTGTGTTCTTGCTACTTTATCAAGTGCATAAATCAAGCTTCACTGCTCCCATGGGATTTCTTTCCATTCATTCAGATGAATGTGTGCTAAATCGATACCCAGTGGTGCCATACAACCCAATCCTATGCAGGTCTAATTGAATTTCCCCCCCCCCATAAGTTTACATATGATGGCAGGATTGGTTCTATGCAGTCAAGCCCAGGAATTACCTAATTTTTACCACCCAGCCATCCATTGGGACTTAAGGGTACCAAAATATTCCAAATTGTGCCCATTTACATTTAAATAAATTCCCCTGAAATGAACTGGGCTGGTTTCCAATCGCTTGATAGTGCAAAAAAACCACCTTCCCTCCCCACTGTAATTTATTTCAAATAAAGCACTTTCTATGAAGGATACATGTTTTTATTAGCAACTGCTGAACACCCAGTGTAAAAACCTGGTAAAGTGCAGAAAGGGGGAATTTGTTTCAACTGAATATTCAGTTCTTTTTTCTGCACTTCTCTGTTTGTGATCTGGTTTCTTCATCAAGTTTTCAGCAATTAGCAGTTTTTTAAAACAGTAAGTCTGAACTGTTATTGGTTTGTCTAGAGGCAACCCGATTTAGCTTCTGGGACGACCCCCTACGTTCTGAAAACCTTTAAACTGTTTCTTTAAATTGGCTCTCCATTGGATATCACTTGGCTCATACCAAATTAAACCAGTTAGAGATGTTATTCACATCTTTACTGCAGCTTTGGCTAGAAATTCTGCTAGCATCGATTTCATGCAGAGCTCAAGACATTGTGGGGAAAGAGGCAGAGGTGACACAAGGGAACAATAAAATGCACACTGTTTTATCTCCCGTTTGGTCCCATTGCTGAGAGTGAATCACAGCATTTCCCACACGTTTTTTACTGACCACCCAACGGAGCTCTTAGCAGCTTCAGTTAGGAAAAAAATATAATCCCAAACCCTACCTCAGTTTTCTGTCATAATCATCCGTTCCCCAGCTTGTGTAGTTTTTCTCCCAATGCCCAGAAACTCGCCAACACTCAACAAAAATGAAAATATAGATTTCCGACACACTGTACCCCAAAGCAACAGAGAGAGAAAACAAACTTACGCTTGATTTCTAACTTGGTCCCGCCACCAAAAGTGAACCACAGTGGTTTGCCATTGCTCATGCCCTCGGCAAAAACCCAAGTCCCTCCCAACTGTGGCCACTGAAGGGAAGATTTCAAAGTTTTTACGAGTAAGCAAAACGGTTTCGCTCCTAGAAATCTGGAAACAACCTCAGGGATAAGAGGCCCAATTTATACCCTTTGAAAAGAACTTCACCAGTTTACGATTTTCATCTGAGGTCCAGCGCCGAGGGCCTTCTGGCGGTTCCCTCGCTGCAAGAAGAAGCCAAGTTACAGGGAACCAGGCAGAGGGCCTTCTCGGTAGTGGCACCTGCCCTGGGGAACTCCCTCCCACCAGATGTCAAGGAAATAAACAACTATCCAACTTTTAGAAGACATCTGAAGGCAGCCCTGTTTAGGGAAGTTTTTAATGTTTAATAGGTTATTGTATTTTGGTGTTCTGTTGGAAGCTGCCCAGAGTGGCTGGGGAAACCCAGCCAGATGGGCGGGGTATAAATAAATAAATATTATTATTATTATTATTATTATTATTATTATTATTATTATTATTAATTTTGCTTCTTTTCCTTATCGCACCAGTGATCAGAATTCTGCCTCTGACAGAGTTAACTCTGGGCAAACATGACATTCCCTGGAAATACCTGATTCGCAAATTAATGTATCGCTGTAGAGTCTGTGGTTTTCTCATACTCCTACGTGTAGAATCATAGACTTAGAAGAGTTGGTAGAGTTGGAAGGGACCACGAGGGTCATCTAGACCAGTGTTTCCCAACCTTGGGCCTCCAGCTGTTTTTGAACTACAATTCCCATCATCCCTGACCAGTGGTCTTGCTAGCTAGGGATGATGGGAGTTGTAGTCCAAAAACAGCTGGAGGCCCAAGGTTGGGAAACACTGATCTAGACCATCCCCTGCAATGCAGGGATCTTTTGCCCAATGTGGGGCACGGACCCACCAACCTGAGATTAAGAGGCTCAAGCTCCTCCAACTGAGTCAGGTGAAGTATGAGCTTTCACAAGTTCATACCAACTCAGTCCTATTACAGAAGTCATTCTAATCTTCACCTCAACTTTGGCTAGAAATTCCGCTAGCATTATTTTCATGCAGAGCCCCTAGATGTTGGCGGATGGGGGAGAAAAGAACGTAAAGCACACTCTTTTTCCCCCCCTTGGTCCCATCGCTGAGAGTGAACCACAGCTTTTGCCCCATGGATTTGCCCCACATGCTGACATTTTTCACTGCCCGAGCAACTCAAAATTCCACTGCAATACACTGTTATCCATTCCCCATCATGCGTAGAGGGTTCGCCTCACTGCTTTCCAACACTGATCAAAAATTACAGTAAAAACACAGACTTCCCACACTCAGCACCCCAAAGCAGCAGCGGAAAAATCAGACTTACGTTTCACTTCTAGCTTGGTCCCGGCACCGAAAGTGTAACACAGTGCTTTAGCAAGACCTGCTCTCTTGACAAAAAGACCAAGTTTTCTTTCAGCTGTGACCCCTGGAGGAAAGCTTTCAAAAAATGCTATGCAAACCAGAACTTATAGTATTTGCTTCTTAGAGCATTGCAGAGCACCAAAAACTGAGGCACTAGACACAGGACCAGCTGAACTGACTAAAAGATGGCCTTGCCTTGTCTTTTGCGTGTCGAGGTCCCCTCAAGCCACCCCTAAATAATTCACAATTCACACATAATTTTTGTTTAAGGTTTCGGGCATAATTTTGGCCATAACTTTATTAAAATACATAAATGTGAGTGGTTGCTTAGGCATTGGTTCTGACTTTCTGTCCCGGGACAGAACTGACTTCCAGATTCCAGTGAAAGCCAGTAAGGGAAAACAATATTGGGGGGAGCATGGAGCCGGGCACCAGACCCTCACCTCTCCCCGCATGCTCCCAGGGGTTTGCGCGGCCCAAGCCCCATTCAGGGGTACGGACGAAAGAATGGCAAGCCCCTGGATTCCTTTAACGGAATTCCCTTTCCGCAGCAGCATTGGAGGGGCAGGCACAGCCAACCCTTACCCCTCCACCAACCAATTTTTAACCAATGCCTAACCGCAACCTTGGGACGTGGGTGGCGCTGTGGGTTAAACCACAGAGCCTAGGACTTGCCGATCAGAAGGTCGGTGGTTCGAATCCCCGCGACGGGGTGAGCTCCCGTTGCTCGGTCCCTGCTCCTGCCAACCTAGCAGTTAGAAAGCACGTCAAAGTGCAAGTAGATAAATAGGTACCGCTCCAGCGGGAAGGTAAATGGTGTTTCCGTGCGCTGCTCTGGTTCGCCAGAAGCAGCTTAGTCATGCTGGCCACATGACCTGGAAGCTGTACGCCGGCTCCCTCGGCCAGTAAAGTGAGATGAGTGCCGCAACCCCAGAGTCGGTCACGACTGGACCTAATGGCCAGGTCTCCCTTTACCTTTACTAACCGCAACCTTACAAGTTGTGACAATTTACTACGCAGTAGGCAAAAACCAAATGGCACCAGCCAATCAGCCAAATGGACAAAATTCCTACCAGGCACCCCTGCCCCAAAAGCAGACGACCCCATCACACCCATAGCAAAGTCAACACAATAGCCCTAGATTAGGGAGGTGGGAGGGTGATCCGATGCATGCAGCAAAAGAGCCCAGTCAATGCTGCGTGACTTGATTTTATAACCTTTGGTCCATCCCCCTAAATGGCAACACCAAAATTTGCCCAGTAACCCAACTGCCCAATCCCTGCAGATGGTCATCCATACTAACCCGCCCAGCAACAGAGGGGTGGCCTGTCAGACCCCACCGCAACACGTGCTCTCCATGAAGGAGAACACGCTTTAACAAAGAAAAACATCTGTTTTCTCCACTTAGGCTGCAAAACTAAACATGGCTATCTGGGAGAAATCTCATGAATAGGACTGCACCTTGTTCTTTATTATGATGGCCAAAATTCTCGTTAGGACTTTCCTACGTACATCCATGATAAAAGATTTTAAGAAATATGATGAGAATTGACTTTTTTTTTTTTGCAAGGGTCAGAGAGGCTGTAAACTGCTGTTGCTAAATACACTCTAAGCCTACCTTGGGTCCCCAGATTTGGTTGGACTACAACTCCCATCATTCCCATTCACTTGTCCAACTAGCTAGGGATGATGGGAGTTGTAGTCCAACCACATTTGGAAGCAGACACCAAGTAGTCCCTAGATCTACCTAGGATTAAACCAAGGTTTAAACCTGAGGCACATGCAATTCTCCTCTTGCACACCTGCGAGGAAGAGATTGTAAGATTTCACTTCCATTTTTAATGAACTGCAGTATATTGTTATGTCTGAATCCTAAACTGTGGCTTGCCTAAACTGTAGGAAAACAAGCCAGCTTTATAAACCATAGTTTGCTGCTTTAATTTTGGTTTGCAGCAGCGAGACTGGTGACTGGGGGCAGCTGCCGAGACCACATAACACCGGTCTTGAAAGACCTACATTGGCTCCCAGTACGTTTCCGAGCACAATTCAAAGTGTTGGTGCTGACCTTTAAAGCCCTAAATGGCCTCGGTCCACTATACCTGAAGGAGCGTCTCCACCCCCATCGTTCTGCCCGGACAGTGAGGTCCAGCCCCGAGGGCCTTCTGGCGGTTTCCTCACTGCGGGAAGCAAAGCTACAGGGAACCAGGCAGAGGGCCTTCTCGGTAGTGGCACCCACCCTGTGGAACACCCTCCCATCAGATGTCGAAGAGATAAACAACTACCTGACATTTAGAAGACATCTGAAGACAGCCCTGTTCAGGGAAGTTTTTAATGTGTGAGATTTTAATGTCTTTTTCATCTTTGTTGGAAGCCACCCAGAGTGGCTGGGGAAACCCAGCCAGATGGGTGGGGTACAAATAATATATGATGATGATGATGATGATGATGATGATGATGAAGAAGAAGAACCATAGCTAATACTCGCCACAGTTTGTCTGGGTTTGGATATAAAAGCGCAAATGCGATTAGTTAAAATGGAAGTCAAATTTTCCAATCCCTCCTCACAGCTATGCTGAAGGAGAGAGGATGGGGTGAGCTTATGAAATCAAGCCTTGTTCTTGGAATACCAAACCATAGTTTAACTTGCTATCCAAACTAGGCCTTTGTGAGTATCTGACGTGTGTCTGTATGAGAGAGATGAGCCACTTCTCTTTTTTGTGAGTGTCCCTGTGTGGATTCATTTCACCAACAGCACATGACATAGCTGACTTCCTTTCATGATCTCCTTCACCTTAGTCTTCAATTGTCTGTTATGGTTCTCTTGTTAATAATATTAATAATTTATTATTTATACCCCGCCCATCTGGCTGAGTTTCCACAGCCACTCTGGGCGGCTCCCAATCAAGTGTTAAAAACAGTACAGCGTAAAATATTAAAAACTTCCCTGAACTGGGCTGCCTTCAGATGTCTTTTAAAGATAGGATAGCTGCTTATTTCCTTCACATCTGAAGGGAGGGTGTTCCATAGGGTGGGCGCCACCACCGAGAAGGCCCTCTGTCTGGTTCCCTGTAACCTCACTTCTCACAATGAGGGAACCACCAGAAGGCCCTTTTCCTTTGTTGTTGTTTAGTCATTTAGTCGTGTCTGACTCTTCGTGACCCCCTGGACCAGAGCACGCCAGGCACTCCTGTCTTCCACTGCCTCCCGCAGTTTGGTCAAACTCATGCTGGTAGCTTCGAGAACACTGCCCAACCATCTCGTCCTCTGTCGTCCCCTTCTCCTTGTGCCCTCAATCCTTCCCAACATCAGGGTCTTTTCCAGTGAGTCTTTTCTTCTCATGAGGTGGCCAAAGTCTTGGAGCCTCAGCTTCAGGATCTGTCCTTCCAGTGAGCACTCAGGGATAATTTCCTTAAGAATGGATGTGTTTGATCTTCTTGCAGGACTCTCAAGAGTCTCCTCCAGCACCATAATTCAAAAGCATCAATTCTTCGGCGATCAGCCTTCTTTGTGGTCCAGCTCTCACTTCCATACATCACTACTGGGAGAACCATAGCTTTAACTATACGGACCTTTGTTAGCAAGGTGATGTCTCTGCTTTTTAAGATGCTCTCTAGGTTTGTCATCGCTTTTCTCCCAAGAAACAGGTGTCTTTTAATTTCGTGACTGCTGTCACCATCTGCAGTGATCACGGAGCCCAAGCTTTCCCTTAAGATGTCCCTATTTTCATCGGTGAATTGTTGGAGGGTTTGGACCTGAAGATGCCAGGCATCTAATCTGCAACCTTCTGACTGCAAAGCAGATGTTCTGCCACTAAGTGCTGCTGCTGCAAAACACCGACTGCTGTCTCTTTTTGGTATCTGAGACTACTGAGCTTGTTTTTGTACTGAAGTGTATCACTGTGTAAAGGTAAGCTTTGGCGTTGTCCACAGTAATATTCTGCTTCATCCTCGACGTGGACGCCATTGATGGTGAACGAGAAGTCAGTGGTGCCGTAGCTGCCACTGAAGCGATCTGGGGTCCCTTCAAAACGGTTTGTAGCATCATAAATCAGTAGCTTGGGTTTCTGTCCTGATTTAAACTGATACAAGACTGTATATTTAGTGACAGAAGAGGAAGCTTTGCACTGGATGGTGACTGCGTCCCCAGGACTTGCCTGTATAGAAGCTGGTGTCTGAGTGATGACAATCTGCCCCCTGGATTCTGGAAGGAAAGGAATAAAGCACACGGGTGAGTCCACAACATTTGCCTGAGAAACTTGGACAGAACAAGGAATGCAAGCTCTTTTTATATGCAATAACAGCAGCAAGAATATTACTGGCCCAAAAATGGAAGCAAGAAGAATTACCGACGATTGAAGAATGGAAAATGAAGTTAATGGACTATGCAGAACTAAATAAACTAACAGGAAGGATTCGAAACCGGCGGGACCATAAATTCACAGAAGACTGGAGTAAATTTACGGACTACTTGAAAAGTATTTGTGAAGATCAGACGACGTTTGTAGGTTTGCAAAAAGTTTTGTGAGGAGTATTATTGGAAGTATTGCAAAAATGGAGAAGGGGGAGGATGATTTGTTAAGAGATGTAAAGGCAATATAAAGTTAAGAAATGCATAAGAAGTGGTTAAAATGGTGGATCATCAGAGGTGCTGATGGAAGTCCAAAAAGATTATATAAGTGATAAGTTTTGTGGTACATTTTATGATTTATATGTCAAAATCAATCTATATATATATATATAGAGAGAGAGAGAGAGAGAGAGAAACTCAGACAGAACAACACCTCTCTTACCGTCCAAGAAACACAAGATGAGCCAAATCAAAGGAATCTGTAACATGATGCTGCTGTTTATGAAACTCTTTCTCCTGTGTCCCAGATGGTTTCACCACCAGCCAGTCCAGCTTGGTAATGAAGGGGGTAACTGTGGAGGAGTTATTAAGTGTTCAGCATGGAAATCCATGCAAATGAAGAGAAGGGGTGCAAGGGATAAGTGTTGCTTCATGGTTGTGCTTCAAGGCAGAAGAAACGCTTGTGGATGAAGTTCCAGGTCACGAAGCTGAAGGAAGCTCAGGAAGATGTGCAGTAATCTGAAGGAGAACAATTCACAAGAAGTTCTCTCATCCTGAATTGTAAGATACAGTGGTACCTCAGGTTAAGTACTTAATTCGTTCCGGAGGTCCGTACTTAACCTGAAACGGTTCTTAACCTGAAGCACCACTTTAGCTAATGATGCCTCCCGCAGCTGCTGCGCCGCTGGCACACGATTTCTGTTCTTATCCTGAGGTAAAATTCTTAACCCGAGGTACTACTTCCAGGTTAGCGAAGTCTGTAACACGATTTCTGTTCTCATCCTGAAGCAAAGTTCTTAACCTGAGGTACTATTTCTGGGTTAGCGGAGTCTGTAACCTGAAGCGTATGTAACCTGAGGTACCACAGTAGTTTGATCTTTCCAAAAATAAAGATAATAATAGGAAGAGATTTTGTGCTCCAGTTTTCCGGGTGAAAAATATCCCATCTTCTGGCTCTCTGAATTAGAAATCAAGAGATAATCCCGAGTTCACTGAAGCAAACGTAAAAGAACAGCAGAACAGAGAAAAATTGCACTCTGCAACATAAAAGATAATATCTTTATACTGAAACACTTTTGGAGAAAATATTGGTTAGGATAGTAAACAGAAACCAAACTCAGATCTCAGGAAAGCCAACCAGCCCCATACACCCAGGTACATGAACCCCTTAATGGCTTCCTGCGGGATGGGTTTTAATGGGAAGAAGAGGATACAAAAATTGCAATTTGCCCCTCCAGGTGCCCCTGTGTGTGGATTGAACACAGTTTCAAAATCCCATCCATGGCAGCAAAATTAAAAGCACAGGAATTAGGCTGCAAAACCTTGTTTTGAACAAATCCAGCTATGAAGTAAGTTGGCTCTACCTTTCTTCTCCCACTTCACAAAGGATCGGGCAAGAACTTGTAAAGTAAGTTTAAAAATGGTATTTACTTACTTTAGAATCATGCATTGGTTCACAGCAACAGTAGCATGTCCCTAAAGCTAGAGCAAGCAGAGGGGGCACCGCTTTGTGGTTCGCCTCACGTGCCAAAACGTCTTGGGCTGATATAACATTAAACTATGGGAGTTTTGTCAAGAGCTGGCGATATCATGCCACGCGGACCCGTGGCAATGGCTGAGTGTCAGTTCAGAAACTGGCAACTGCTTTGCCACCTGCCAAAATGGCAATGGAAACGATGCCATCTTCAGGTCATGGCTCCAGCTCACAAATCAGGAGAAACACCTGGGAGCCAATTCATGTAAAGAGTCGTTCTCTTAGAAGGTTTTACTATGCTTGAGATTTTTAATCAATTTTGCCAAAGCATTAAAAAGTTATAGGCATTTGTTGGTTTCCTCATTGCGCACCCAGGCGCCCCCCACCGGACGGACTGTCTTAAACCACAAATAACGAAGCACGACAAGTTCTATTTTGGGTCAAACCAGGACACAACTTTATTGACTACAGATGTAAGAGGTTTGGCACAGGCATTAGGTAGACCGCACCCCTTCTGGCCCTCCGGCTGGAAGTACCTAATATGGGGTCAACTGGAAGAGAAGGAGTTCTTTACCTACATCAAAGAGTCGTAAGACTTCTGGGTTGTACTTGGAGAGTGTGGTGGCCCTAGTGTCCACCTGGGCGTCCAGACAGAAGCATCTCACCTGGATCCCTTTAATGGGATATCCCAATTTCCAGAGAGGCAGGCAGAGACTACAACCTCCCCTCCCTCCAAAACTAGGCCTACCCAATGCCTAAACTGCCCCAAGTTGTTCCAGCTGCACCATTCTACCTGAGAAACTCAGCGTGGGAGGAGATTTGAGCTGGTTGCTCCAGCTCAGCCAATTGGCTCTCACAAGAGAGGTGCGGGGAAAAAATGCAGAGGAATAGGCATGGTTGGAGAATGGAGAGAGCAGTGTGTGTGTGTGTGTGTGTGTGTGAGAGAGAGAGAGAGAGAGAGAGAGAGAGAGAGAACTGAAGAAAGCATCTTTGATAGCCCTACAAAATGGCACTTAATTTATGACCTTATGGGACTGTAGGAATTTTGTCCCAATGTGGCAATATGAAGCCATGGTGACTTGTGGTTAGGGAATGATAGTTCTACTGCTTTTGCTTTTCTCTGTTTCCCTATTTTTCCCATCTTGAATTCAGTTTGCCAAACTTCTTCTCCAATTGGTTAAGCTTTTTTTTTTACAATCCTCATGATAATTCACTAGACTTTTGTGCTAATTTCTCATTATAAATTCATTGTAGAATACAGTGGTACCTCTGGTTACATACTTAATTTGTTCTGGAGGTCCGTTCTTAACCTGAAACCATTTTTAGCCTGAAGTACCACTTTAGCTAATGGGGCCTCCCGCTGCTGCCATGCCACTGGCACATGATTTCTGTTCTCATCCTGAGGTAAAATTCTTAACCCGAGGTACTACTTCCAGGTTAGCGAAGTCTGTAACCCAAAGTGTTTGTAACCCAAGATGTTTGTAACCCGAGGTACCACTGTACAGCTTTTGAATAATGTAATGCAATGTACGTCATCCACACATTTTATTCACACTTTCTCATAATACATGCACCTTTGTATACATCATGGGTAGGCAAACTAAGGCCAGGGCCAAATGTGGCCCAATCACCTTCTAAATCCGGTCCGTGGGAATCAGCGTGTTCTTACATGAGTAGAATGTGTCCTTTTATTTAAAACGCATCTCTGAGTTATTTGTGGGGCATAGGAATTTGTTCATTTCCCCCCCCCCCAAAATGTAATCCATCCCCCCATAAGGTCTGAGGGATAGTGGACTGGTCCCCTGCTGAAAAAGTTTGCTGACCCCTGGTATACATTGTTGGGCTGGAGAACTGCTTTGCAGAATCAACTTTGGCGTGAACTGAACCTAAACTCTTCCCCAACCCAAGCTGTGACAATGGCTGGGTAACAGTTCGAAACCTGACAGCTGCTTTGCCACCCACAAAGGCGGCGCGAAAATGCAGCAGTCTGAACCGTTTGTCACGGAGGATTCCTGTGACATATGCTTGAAGGGTCAGCTGCAAATCTGAAGAGTACCAGCAATCTGGGTTTCTAGCCAGTTAGTAGGAAGCAAGTGTGTGTGTGTGTGTGTTGTTTTTTTTTGAAAGTGAAGTGATACTTGCAACAATATACAAAGAACCTAAATGGCAGCTGTTTACCAGCTCCATCAGGTACGTAGGCTGAGACCCTATCTGCCTGCGGACTGTCTCGCCAGAGTGGTGCATGCTCTGGTTATCTCCCGCTTGGACTACTGCAATGCACTCTACGTGGGGCTACCTTTGAAGCTGACTCGGAAACTACAACTAATCCAGAATGCGGCAGCTAGACTGGTGACTGGGGGCGGCCGCCGAGACCATATAACACCGATCTTGAAAGACCTACATTGGCTCCCAGTATGTTTCCGAGCACAATTCAAAGTGTTGGTGCTGACCTTTAAAGCCCTAAACGGCCTCGGTCCACTATACCTGAAGGAACGTCTCCACCCCCATCGTTCTGCCCGGATGCTGAGGTCCAGCGCCGAGGGTCTTCTGGCGGTTCCCTCATTGCGAGAAGCAAAGCTACAGGGAACCAGGCAGAGGGCCTTCTCGGTAGTGGCGCCCGCCCTGTGGAACGCCCTTCCAGCAGATGTCAAAGCGATAAACAACTACCTGACATTCAGAAGACATCTTAAGGCCCTGTTCAGGGAAGTTTTTAACGTGTGATATTTTACTGTATTTTTGGTTTCTATGGAAGACGCCCAGAGTGGCTGGGGAGGCTCAGCCAGATGGGCGGGGTATAAATAATAAATTATTATTATTATTATTATTATTATTATTATTATTATTATTATTACTAAATAAACATCCTGCTGTTTCACAGACAGGACTAAAGCCAAGCATCATCGCACATCAGCGATGGGAGAGGATGGGGACTTAATCCCATGCCAATGAGGAGAATCTCCTCAGTGGACTTCAATCTGTCCATGCTCAGAAAAGGGGCAGTGATGATTTGGGAGCATTTCTGAAGTCTGAAGAGAACTTGAAGCCATGACCTCTTTCAACTCAGTCGTATGGGATTGGTCTATTTCTGTACACGATGTGGCCCAGAATGCCAGGAGGAAACAGCGACCTAAAAACTTTGGGGAAGGAGAGTCTTCAGGTCAGGAGCCATCTCGGATTGAGCTGCTCCACAGACGTTGGTGTCCAGTTTTCTTTCTCCTGTTCCCTCACAGTGGTGGCTCTGGCTTGCCTCAGAGAAGGTCATGTCCAAGCTGCCCTTCTGTTGGTTGACCTACAGATGCCCATGACCCTCAGCCCAGTTCCCATCTCCATCCCACCTGTCCCCATTCTGCAAGCTGAAAGGTGGGTGCTGATGCAAGACACAAACTTCCATTTCTTCCTTCTGTCTTAGGCTGCTGAGCTGGTTTTTGTACTGAAGTGTATCACTGTGGAGAGGAGTGCTGTAGTCTTGGCCACAGTAATAGTCTGCTTGGTCCTCGGCACGGACGTTGCTGATGGTGAAGGAGAAGTCAGTGTTACTGTAGGTACCACTGAAGCGATCTGGGGTCCCTTCAAAACGGCTCGTAGCATCATGAATAAGAAGCTTGGGTTTCTGTCCTGGTTTAAACTGATATAAGGCCATATCATTACTCATGGAAGAGGAAGCTTGGCACTGGATGGTGACTCTGTCCCCAGGACTTGCCTGTATGGAAGCTGGTGTTTGAGCGATGACAATCTGTCCCCTGGATCCTGGAAGGAGAGGAACAAAAAGCGCACTGTAAAACCCACAACATTGGCCTGAGAAACTCAGGCAGAACCACACACCTCTTATGACTTACC